TGCTTAGGAGGAGTTTTTAATAGCCTGAGAAAATACTTTTATGCGAATGTTATGTTAAAAACAAGCTATAAATTGCATATGTGATATGAACTAAACTATGTTAAACTATGTGTACAAAAATACCCAAAATACGTCAGGATTATCCCTGAGCAATTGCCACTAGGGTTGCTTGTTAAGCTTCTAGCGTAAATGCTTAAATGCTGTTACTATTTTTATGTATTGCCTTCATTTGATTCAATGAGAATGGAACTTATCCATTACAAGATAAATAAAACAAACCATATTCAAGGGAACCTTCTCATATTCTCATTCCTTGCAAAAGCAAGCCCATGTACAAATAAGAACCATATTGCATTTCTTCAATCCTTGCATCTGTAAAAAACCAGAAATGTCTGCTCCAGAAACTTCCACTCTAGAATTTGAATCAAGCTTTTTTCTTCCCTACTTTCAGACTGTCTGGAGAATCAACGGGTCACCACTCTCGGCCACCTGATCCCTCAGTGTGTATGGCTAAGACTCCGCTCTGTCACACGCTGACAAAGGGTGTGCTCTTGTCCGGACCATGTGTCACTCCCCTCTTATGCTGCCCCGTGCCCGGGGAAGAGCTGAGGACACAGGGACACACTCGCACAGAGACATCAAGGCAAAATAATGCCTCATCACATTCTTGCAACCCCGGAACAGCAGCCTTGGGGGTGAGTGGTTGTGTTGTCGCTACTCCAGTCCCGTGTCCTAAGGTGGCAAACAAGAGCCGAGCTCTGCATTTGGCCAAGATTAATTTCAGATGCCTTTCACTGCCTCTGCTGTGTGAACAATGGACAGGCGTTCTAGATTTCCACGGTCGCTTGCTAGCCTGGGAGCGTCCATCATGTCCTGTTTGTCCTTGTACCTCCAGTGCCCAAGGCAGGCAACTGGGAAACTTCTGTTGAGTAATTTCCAGAAGCAAAGGGTTAGCAAACTGGCAAAGGAACGGCTGTGTGTCTAACCCCACGTTCTCTTAGGTGACCTATATCTAAGTGAATTGTTTTTACTTTGTTTTCACGAACAACTCTGTAGTTTCTCAAGGATGTGGCCCTGTGGACTATCATTTGTTTCATGAAATCCTGCAGCAGTCCCGGCGACTGACACACTGAGGAGACCCTGCCTGCTGATCCCCAGCCTCCCCTGGCCTCCCTGGCCTCCCCCGGCCCTATTCCCAGTTCAGAGCCAGCTAGAAGTGATGGGAAGACAGGAACCATGGGAGGAAGCAGAGTCCACAAGTGGGCATTGGGCCTGGAGGCCAAAGCCCAGTATTAGAGCCAGGAGGGAGTGGAGGATGGCATGGCCCCTGGTCTGCAGAATCAACAGTAAGATGACCCATCTTCAGAACTCTAAGCAACAGAGAATGACCACAGCCTTTTAAGGAGGAGCTGTCCCACCCAGCTCTGGGGAAGTATTCATGGGAGGAAAAAGAGCTAAAAGCACGTTATAGAGTCCTCTCAGGCACTGGAGAAGGCCAGAGAGGAGGCGGACCCGGGCAAGAGCCAGCAGTGAAACAAAGGCGATGAGGACAGACAGAAGGACACAGAGCCAGCCCACAGCACTCACAGCGGGAGGAATTCACACTGAAGCACCTGCACATGCTGCCAGGGCTGCGAATGATCACACATGTCTGCATGAAGGACTTGGAAAGCAGCTGGACGGAGGAGACAGGCAGAGAGCAAGTCCTTTGATGTTTCCACTCTATTTCCTAGGAAGGAGTGGCCCCATCCCTGATAGAAGAAACACAGGGACATATGCTAGCACAGGACAGGGACAAGATGAACTCTTCCAGGGACACAGGGCAGTGGCAGAACTAGAGAGAGATGTCTTTAAAGTTATGGGTAAGAGAACAAGCAGGTGGGCAGACGGGCGACCCTGGGGTTCTGAGAACCCAGCATGTAAGGAGACAGCTGACCAAGGAAGACAGGACAATCACACAGGCAAAGGCAAATGGCAGGGGTCAGGGGCCAGGAGGTAACTGAAGAGGGGTTTCAGCAATCAGGACAGCCACACTGCTCAACATTACACACGTAACAGAGTCCTCTGACTGGGTCCTGCAGCAAGCATGGATGTGAGAAGGGCGATAATGCACCCCAGTGCATCTCGTGCTGATGGATCCCTGCACCTGCACAGGAGGTGATACTGGCCAGGTGCTTCCAAGGCAGCAAACAGCACACAGAACCAGGGACTCAAGGGGGAAGACCAGGAAGCTCCAGCGCTAGAGACACAGAAGGGCAAGCCAGGCTCCCTGGAGCCAAGCAGGCGGGGCCCCAGAGCAGACCTGGAGACTGCAGAGCAGCAGCAGAGAAGTCACCAGCAGCAAGAGAGGGCAGATCTGGTCCTTTCCAGTCTTCCAGCACATAATCACTCAGTGCAGGCTCCATCCGCATTTCAAAAGCGTTTACCTGGCACAAGGCTCAGCTCTGCCTGAGTCCACAAAAACACAGCAGCCTCTGGGGTTGCTGGATCCATACCTGCTCTCTCTCTCCCCATGAGCACTCCTCGGCCCACCTGGTAAACCAGGGCCAGCCATGATGTCATGCCCATGTCGCCCTTGGACAGAAATCCAATTTATTATTACAGTCATGGATGTCCCACCACGTCTTCCATTCAGAAATGCAGCTTGTGGCAGAGCAGCAAAAGCAATCATGAAGGCGGTGGAAAAGAAACATGGGCAGCAGGACAACAGAACTGGCCAAGGCAGCATGGTGAGCAATGGGCACACCCAGCTCAGCCCCATCCCCTGGAGGGGCACAGCACGGGTACAAGAGCACCCAGTGCCATTCCAGCTCCTCACTGGCAGCTGGGCACTCCCACCCAGTGCCATTCCAGCTCCTCACTGGCAGCCGGGCACTCCCACCCAGTGCCATTCCAGCTCCTCACTGGCAGCCAGGCACTCCCACCCAGTGTCATTCCGGGTCCTCACTGGCAGCCAGGCACCCCCACCCAGTGCCATTCCAGCTCCTCACTGGCAGCCAGGCACCCCCACCAGCGCCATTCCAGCTCCTCACTGGCAACCAGGTACCCTCACCCAGTGCCATTCCAGCTCCTCACTGGCAGCCGGGCACCCCCACCCAGTGCCATTCCAGCTCCTCACTGGCAGCCGGGCACTCCTACCCAGTGCCATTCCAGCTCCTCACTGGCAGCAGGGCACCCAACTCCCCCAGGCTCCCAGGAGTCCCCACTATGGGACAAGTGCACTAGTGGTCATGACCCTGTCTGGGGGTAACCACTCATGGATACTGCAAATTATACAGGAGCGAGGCTGGCTCTGCTCAGCCTCCAGTGGGAGGGTTGGCTCCAGGCTCTCCTTGGAAGGCATACAAGCAGCCGGCCAACCTAGTTTAGCCCTGCCATCTGCACAGTTCTGGTTCATGCACACTGTGGACCAATATTAAACAGGGGCCCCTCACTGCTGCTTTCACACAGGCAGCAACTCAGCAGAAAACAAGGGCAAGTGCTCGCCTTTGACGCAGCTGGCATGTTGGGCTCCATGGGAATTGAGAGATTCCTGGTCGCTAAGATTGCTCCTGCACTAACCAAGCCTCCCCAGCTCTCGGCCATGGGGCCAAACATAGCAGAGGGGACCCTGTCCTCTGCAGGCCTTGCAACGGACTCCCCAGCAAGCAGACTGCTGTGAGTTTGGGCCCAAGAGGACACACACCCTCTGCCTACTCTGGGTCCTAAGCGAACTTCGTAGGCCTTTGGCTTTGACACACTGCAAAGCCACTATGTCGGCTCACTTCATATATTAATAATGAGTCACCAGGTCCTGGTGCCCAGCTGCTTCAAGGAGCTTTCTCTGGCACAAGGGTTATCTCATCATTCATGGGTCATCCAAGATGATCCACAAGTCCTCGTCAAAAGACACCTCAGCAGGGTCAGGCCACGTGACCGTGAGAACCTTCCATGGCCACTGGGACAGAGGTTCAACAGCCGTTACACCAGTCAGGCTGTTCAAGTTGAGCTGGGAAACGAGAGACGGTAGGGTTGCAAGAACTCTACTTGAGGTACACACAGGGGCAGACTTGTGGGAGAAGAAACAAAAGTCCCAGCAAAGGGGTGCTGAGAGGAAACCGGCTCCCTCCATCTTCCCTGGGATCTGCGATGAAGGGTGCCCCATGCAGGGTGATCAGCTAGGATCTGCGATGAAGGGTGTAGAGGAGGAGGAGGACAGAGGAAGGGTGCCAGTGCAGGCTGATTAGCTGCTGAGTGCCAGGTGTGGCTGGGCCGAGGCTAGAGACAGCCAGAGGGCAGCCAGGCCCTGCCTGCTCACCCAGACCCCACCTGGCCTCAACCTCCTGGTGCCCCTGGACCTTCCAGCCTCACTCTGCTGCCCTCCTGGATGGCATCATCCTTTCATGTTTAAATCTGTCGGTTTGTGAGTTTGTCCATCAAACCTCAGATCAACATGAGGGAAAAGAACTGTCTTTCAAATCCACAGCATTCCCATGGAGGATTTCTGTGTTCTCAGCAGCCCGCCCTGCCCAGGAAGGGGAGGCGCAGAGGGCAATTGAAGAAACAGACGCAGGCTCTGGTGGAGTTCAGTGGGGAGAGATTCCAGCCTGCACTGGGCGCCAGGCAAAGGACACTTGGTACTAACACAATGCGCTCCTTCTAATGAAGACTTTCAGCTTTTCAGGGGCTCCTTTTCCCGGTGAATGACAATCAGTATGGTGCCCAGAGTTTTGTCATGTAAATTCTGCATTCCTGTAGCAGCTTTAACCTGTCAGAGTCATTCAGCATACTCTTTGGAAAGCTCTCTTTCTGGATCCTTCTGCATATTGCCTCTAACCTGCAAGCAGAAGAGCCTGTTCCAAGAGGGACATGTTATTAGCAGACCTTCTATGTTTCACTTTCAAAACCAATGCTTGAACAACGAACCAGAGCAACGTCCTCTGGAAAAGAGGGTGTGCCCTCCAGGGCCCTGGCTCTTCCCTGGACACACAAGCCCGGCAGGTGCGGCTAAAGCAATGGCCGTGCTCGCTTCTGCGGCACATACACTAAAATTGGAACTGATACGCAGAAGATTAGCACGGCCCCTGCGCAAGGGTGACACAAATTCATGAAGATTCCGTATCTTTTCTCCTTGTCTCCCGCTTCCCCTGGATACAGTAAGCATAAAAAAGAACGTGGAAATGGTGATCTTACCCACCTTCCTGTAGCTGTTGACCCTGATCACCCTAATCAACCAGTCAAAATCATCAAAGATAAAAATAATTAATAATTAAAAAAAAACAATGGCCTTGGCAAGAAGGGGTCCTCTGTGGAGCGCCAGTTTTCTTTTCTGAGGGACCCTCCCCTGCACATGAGAGCAGCACGGAAAAGCTGCCCTCTCACCCCTCCGTGAGGACAGGGCACAACGGGGGAAGGGAACGGCATGACGAGTACACAGTACACGGAGAACACGAGCAAGTGGGAGGCTGCAGAACACAGCCCACACGCAGCCCACGCGCAGCCCATGTGCAGCCCACGCACAGCCCAGGCGCAGCCCACGCACAGCCCAGGCACAGCCTACGCGCAGCCCACGCGCAGCCTACGCGCAGCCCAAGCGCAGCCCACGCACAGCCCACAAGCAGCCCACAAACAGCCCACGCGCAGCCCACGCACAGCCCACGCACAGCAGCACGCACAGCCCACATACAGCCCACGCACAGCCCATGCACAGCCCACGTGCAGCCCATGCACAGCCCACACACAGCCCAGGCTCCTAGGTCAGACAGCCTGGTCCAAGCCCCAATGCCACTACTTCCATGTTTTCACTAAAGCTCTCGGAGACGTAATACGGTCAACTGTAAAGAGTGGGAGTCAGGAGAGCCATGCCACAGGGTCCTTCTGAGCATGCCAGCAGGCAAGGCTTGTAAATCTCCAACCCAGGCTCGCAGAAAGGGCCAGTCATAGGGCACGCTGAACACAGCTTAGCAACAGTCGCCACCTCTTCCTTCCAGCCTCCAGGTCTCGGCTCCTGGGGCCTGTCTTTACTCCAGAGTCCCTAGCAGGGCATGCACCTCACTGATGGGCATCTCCAGGATAGTCACTCTCTTACTGGGCACAGAAACCACTCTAGTTCAGTCAAGGTCAAGAAGAAAACGAAATGCAAAGCATCAGCTCTGGGAAGCGGGGCAGCAGGGAGGAGGTCACACAGTGGAGTGAGGAGCACCCAGCCAGCACCAGCTGCCTTGGAGAAGAGTTCTGGGTGTGTCCACAGAGGCCTGGAGCTTCCACTTGTGCACTGGAGGCCCAGTGAGGACCCTGGCCATTCTGAAGTCCTCATGCAGTTAGGAAACATGGGAGCATGCCTAACACCCGGCTGGCAGCCCCAGCTGAGCCCTGCAGTCATCCAGGAGGCCCAACTCCTCAGTTATTCCAGTCTACAGCCATCAGGCAGCAGAGACAAACCCTAACCCTCACCTCCTATCTCATCCCTGAGCCACAGGGTCTAGGAGCATAAAAGGCCAAGGGTTTGTACTAGGTTGTGGGTGGTTGGTCAGGCAGCAATAAACAAAACCCCACCTCCTAGGTGTTACTTCATCTTTATAACAGCATTCTGAGCAAGGATCTTATATGCCCATTTTAAAGATGAGAAATATGGGAGAAATTATGCAATATATGCACAATCCTATGATTTCAAGTGGCATAATCAGAACTAAACATGAAGTCAAGATTAATTCACACCATGAATCAATCAGCCCCAAGAATTCAGAGAAGCTTTAGAAATAAATCAGATGTCATACACAGAAGCTGCAAGTGCCCATTTGCATATATTCTACATGCTGGTAATATTCACCTCTGAAATAAAGTCATTTGGCTGTCCAACAAATAAAAAATGCCAGAGCTGGGCCACGTGACTGACGAAGCTGGTGGACTAATTCGCACCAGCTGCTCAGCTGACAATGGCCCGGTGCATTAAGTCTCCCACAGACAGGGAAGGATTTTTATCCATCAAATACCTGAATGCCTACAGTAACTGATGGGTGGGCAAGCGGGAGTGGCTGGAGCAAGGGACCGGGCTGTTGCCTGCCGCTCCACACCAGCAAGGGAACTACTGAAGACAGAGGCAGCCGCTTCGCAAACTCACCTGGAGGTCTGGGAAAACGCTGTGACTGGGAGGTGCCAGATGTTCTCCCCACAACTGGATCAGGAGGCCTGCAGACACTCAGTTCACATCCCTAGGGTGCATGGGCGCCTTAGCCCAGATCTCAGGAAAGGAGCTGGGGCCTGCAGGGTCCTCAACAGGGACTCATCATCACCACTGCCACGTTTCCATCTCAGCTGCAGAACACAGCGCAATACATGTACTACGGCAGTCTCCTCACCCAGACGGGCAGAAGCAAATGCAAGCTCTGTGTCTAGCAAAGGGTGCACGGGGCACAGGACAGCCGTCCCAAAATGTCCTACAACACCTCGCAGCTGGCCAGCAATCCAACTGCACGTATCAAAGAGTCACACGCAGAAGGGTACACCCCCACCCTCCACGCCCACAGTACCCCACACATTGACTCTCATCACCTGCCAGGCTCTCTTCAGCCTGCACAACGTTGAGCCCTAATGAAAGCCCACGCGGGGGAAGCAGTCAAGGCCACAGCCCCTCCTGGAGGAGGCCTCCATGTCCAAGCTGATAACGTGGCAGGATCCACCTACTCAGCAACATTCCTTTCCTCATTCAGTCTAAGGAGTGTAGGCCAGCTCTCACCCAGCTGAGGCTGATCAGAGTAGAACAGGAGGTCATTTCAGACCCATTTTTGTAGCCTTCCTTTTGTATAGAGAGCTCTGCTCCTTAACCTCCTGAGGAAAAAAAAAAAAAAAAAAACAAAAAACACCAGAAAACTCAGTCCTCCACAAAACCCTGGCACTGCAGGACTTGTGGGAGGAAAAGCCTGACCTTAGTCACTGTCCCGGAATGCATTCTGGGCACTTGCTGTTAAGGACCTTAATCACTGCCTTGGGATGCCTTGGGATGCCTACTTGGAAGGTGTGGTGGCGGTGGAACAAGGAGCAAGCAGGTAGCAAAGATTAGAGGCACAGTGCCAACCACAAGATGCCACACCCACACCCCAGGCACCTGGCTTCCTCCGAAATCTCTTGCTATTTCATCTGGCCGTCATCAGAGGGATTCCCTACACTCCCAGAGACCTCATTTTGGGGAAAATCGTTAGCAAACCAACACGCAAATCCCTCCTGCCATGAAATTAAAAATATTTCCACTTTCTAAAAAAATCCGCCAGGGGTAAACATGGAGCAGGGAACAGGTGGGGGGCACAGTTTCAAAGAGGGAAATGTTTCAGAGCAGGTAGAGGAAGCAGCCTGGGAATGCTCCCCGCCGTCCACAAGCTCATCTCATTGCACACCAGCAGGGACTGTGCAGGCACTTGCAGGGTGACTGCTTTGGAATTCCCAACCCATCGTGCATTATAATTGAAAATATGGAGACGCATAAAGGATGATGTTGATTTTAGAATCAGAATGTCAACCAGGTCTTTTCAGCTCAGAAATACATACATTCCTTGGTACCCAGAAGTTAGTGTTGGGCTGAAATTTTTATAAGCTCAACTCGAAGTCAAATATTACAGAACAACCAAATGTCACTGCACTACTTATTAAGGGATATACCATTCCCCCATGAAATTAGAATATTAAAGACATTTCCTTAATGTTACTGGAACTCTTCGGCAACCAGCCTGTCTCCTACAGTGCCTCAAACCTTATGTGAAGAAAAGGAGGACGTTACACACGCCTTAGCAATTAAGCACAAAACAAAACCCTCCTCCTGCCAAGTTATCAACGAGGACACTGAGGAAGACATTCCAAGGGAACAGGGCTTCACCCCTGCACTGTCAGCACTGGCCATACTGAACACCCCAGCTGGCTGGCTGGAGTCTAATCCATTGGCCTACAAACATAAAATGGTGTTATTTTTGTCCCCATCATGCTGTTAAGCTCCTCTTTCCCAATGGGTGGCAACTGCCTTAAAGATATTTTGGCCCAGTTTCACAGCTTTTCATTTTCTTTCAATTACCAAGATTTAATCCAATTCATTTTCAAACTCCAGTCTCAGATGTGAGGCCAAGGTCACATGCTCTGGGCCGACTGAGTTCTCCTGCCCCGGCGTGCACCCCGGAGTCCGTCTACACTGAGTAAAGTAGGCCACAGGAAGAGCCACGGGGATCTCTACTCACAACCGGGCAGAGCAGAGCCCTTTCTGCACTTGATCTAAAAGATGACCTAGCATTTGGTGTCCAGGCTCCACAAGGTCTCCCTGAGAAGTGCCACTGGCTCTGCCTACTTACTCTCCAAAGGGTCTCCCTGAGAAGTGCCACTGGCTCTGCCTACTTACTCTCCAAAGGGTCTCCCTGAGAAGTGCCACTGGCTCTGCCCATTTGCTCTCCAAAGGGTCTCCCTGAGAAGTGCCACTGGCTCTGCCCATTTGCTCTCCAAAGGGTCTCCCTGAGAAGTGCCACTGGCTCTGCCCATTTGCTCTCCAAAGGGTCTCCCTGAGAAGTGCCACTGGCTCTGCCTACTTACTCTCCAAAGGGTCTCCCTGAGAAGTGCCACTGGCTGTGCCCATTTGCTCTGCAAAGGGTCTCCCTGAGAAGTGCCACTGGCTGTGCCCATTTACTCTGCAAAGGGTCTCCCTGTGAAGTGCCACTGGCTCTGCCCATTTGCTCTCCAAAGGGTCTCCCTGTGAAGTGCCATTGGCTGTGCCTACTTACTTTCCAAAGGGTCTCCCTGAGAAGTGCCACTGGCTGTGCCCATTTGCTCTCCAAAGGGTCTCCCTGAGAAGTGCCACTGGCTGTGCCCATTTACTCTGCAAAGGGTCTCCTTGTGAAGTGTGACTTCTGTAACATTTTACCTTCCTAGTCCCTAGAAAGAATTCCATTTTAGAAATTGCCTAACTTTTAAGGCAATGCAGTCTGCAAGCACATATAGGACCCTCTTCGCTATGCCTAAGGACCATAAATGAACCTCTGTGTGTGCACACACTCTCACAGGGTACCTGGGCACTGCTCTGCCTGGAGGACCTCCTCCACTGCCATCTGTTCCTCTAGAGTCTCTGCCTACACCTGTAGCTCTAGAACATTCTATAG